ACCCCCCGCGGCGGGAGAGAGCGGCACCTGCCTGGCCCGGCCGATGGGACACTGGCGGACTCCGCCGCCGCCCGCCGCGTTTTTCCTCGGCTTTCCGCAGGGGTTGGTGTGCGCCTGCGCGTCCCGGAGGGCTGGCGGTCTCGGCGTCCCGGAGGAGAGGCTCAGCCCGCCTCCGGTCCTCCCTGCACCGGCAGGGTGGTGGCGGCGGCGCCTTTGCTGGGGAGGCTGAGGCTGCGGGGTTGCCTAGAGTTCGACGCCAGCCTGAGTTGCGTAGTTGCCTGCAAACTCAGAGTTTAGCCGACTGAGGCCGGCTTCGGCTACTCGTTAAGTGGTTACACAGAGAAACCCTGACTCAAAGGAAAGAAAAGGAAAAGGAAAAGGAAAGGAACGGGGAAAGGAAAAGGAAAGGAAAGGGAAAGGAAACGGGAAAAGAAAGAGGAAAGGAAAGGGGAAGGAAGGAAGGCTGATAATGCTACAGAATGGATGAACCTTGGGGATTTATAGTATAGTAAGTAGTTAAGTGAAAGGAGCCAGATGCGAAAGGACTCTTTCCCAACAAAGAGGAAAATAACACGTATGGCTTCTTTAATATGATGATTGCCGTCCAGCTCCACGAATATACCAAAAAACGAGCAAATAATTTAAATGAGTATGTGGTATAGCATGTGAATTGTAGATTAGTAAAGCTATTAGGGGGAAAAGTGCACTTATGTTACCATTCTAGTCAAAGCCCTTCAGATCCTCCGTTTTACCAGACTAAATGCCACTAGCCTCAGTGGAAAATGGCAGCGCCCGGAACACTGCTCAGTTAGGTTGCTCTGCCACGCATGAAGTCTTGGGTCCAAGCCCCAGCAACACATAAATCAGTTGAAACCCTAGCATTCGGGAGGCAGGAAGATCAAATGTTAGGCCTTTGGCTATATAGCAAGTTCCAGGCCAGCCTGGCTACTTGAGACCCTGTCTCTAATGGGGACGGGGGGGAGGGGAGTAAAAAGTGTGTGTAGGGAGACAGGGCTGGAAAGACGGCTCAGCCTTTAACTACATTTACTGTTCTTGCAGAGGACCCAGGTTCTGCTCCCAGTCCCCACTCCAGTGCTCACAACAAACTGTAATTCCTCCGGCCTCCACTGGCGTCACCACACGCAGGAGCACATACAGACAAGCAGCCACATACATATAAATAAAAATAACAGGCCTGGCATGGTGGCGCACGCCTTTAATTTCAGCACTTGGGAGGCAGAGGCAGGAGGATCTCTGTGAGTTGGAGAACAGCCTGGTCTACAGTGTGAGTTCCAGAACATCCAGGACTAGATAGAATAGACCCTCTTTCAAAAGAGATCACAAACTTTTATTTTTTTCATTTTTTATGAGTACATGTGTTCATGTGTCTGTGCACCCTGTGTGTACAGCACTCTGAGGGGATCAGATCCCCCAGAACTGGGGTCCTAGATGACTGTGAAGTCACCATGTGGGTGCTGGGAACAGAACCCAGGTCCTCTGCAAGAGCAACGAGTGCTCTTAACCGTGGAGACCTTGCCCTCAGCTCTTGCCACTCTTCTTGTTCCTTCAACTCAGCCGCACCAGCCGTGACTCAGGGACACTACCACACTCCTGCATTGTGGCATTTTACTGCCTGCTCCCTCTTCGTGTGCAACTCCTCCCGCTACAACGGGCTGTTTCCTCATGTCTACACCTGTATTCAAATGTGTGGTTGTGTGTTTATAAGTGGAGTTTCTCTGCATCCCCGGCAGGTGCTCTCAAATAATCACACAGACTTACTGTTAATTATAAAGTTCGGCCAATAGCTTAGACTTATTTTTAACTAGCTCTTTCAACTTAAATTAACCCATGTCTGTTAATCTATGTGCTGCCCCAAGGCTGGCTTACCTCATCTATGAAACTCCCATGTTGCTTCTTCTGTGTCTGGCTCACGACTCTCACGGCTCCCTGTCTCCACCCTTTCTTCTTCCCAACATCCTTTCTACCCCCAAAATCCTGTCTAGTCATCGGCCAATCAGCTTTTTATTAACAATGAGAGTAGTGTATAAAATTTTTTTTCCACAACATGCATTGTTTTGTTTTTTTATGTATATTGGTGTTTTGCCTGCATGTATGTCTGTGTGAGGGTGTCTGATATCCTGGTACTAGAGTTATAGACAGTTATAAGCTGCCATGTGGGTGCTGGGAATTGAACCTGGATCCTCTGGAAGGACAGTCTGTGCTCTTAACCGTTGAGCCATCTCTCAGCCACTGATTATGTCTTGTTTCTGTTTTCATTTTGACAGTCTCATTGTGTTGTCCAGGTTGACTTTGAACTTCTGGACTCAAACAGTCTTTCTGCCTCTGACTCCCTAAATAGCTGGTACCATAGATGTGCCGATGGGTGCTGCCACATCCAGCTAAATAATTTCTCTGCCCTAGGGATGTAAGTTGGTGATAGAGTGATTGCCCAGAATACATGCGACCCTGGATTCAATTCCTAGCACGTGTGTAAGCGCGAGAGCACGCATGCACACACACACACACACACACACACAGAGAGAGAGAGAGAGAGAGAGAGAGAGAGAATGTCATGTTCCTTTTGGGGGGAGGACAAGGACTTTCTTTGTAGTCTTGGCTTCCCTGGAACTCATTATGTAGTCCAGGCTGACCTTGAAATCACACCTCTGCCTCCTGAGTGCTGGGATTAAAGCTGTACACCACCACAACTGGCACTTTCCCCAGCCCTCTTAGACAGTTTCACCGAGTGGCTCAGGCTGGCCTAAAACTCACTCTGCAGCCCAGGGTGGCCTTGAACTTGCAATCCTCCAATTTTAGCCTCCAGAGTGCTGGCTGGCATTCCCCGTCTGAGTCAACCAGCCCTGCTTTAGGAAAAGAATATTCATGGCTAAGATCTGAACGGGTAACAAGAAAATTTGATCCATTAATGAGCTGGTTTCTAGTTTTGCATCTCCCTGTATTTGACTGTGCGTGGGAGTGGGGTGTCTGTGCCTGTGTGGGGATATGCGCACCACATTTGTTCAGGGGCCTATGGAGAAAAAGAGGGTATTGAAAGTCCTGGAACTGGGAGTTACAGATAGTTATGAGTGCTGACATGTCAGTGTTGGGAACTGAACCTGGGTCCTCTGTAAGAGCAGCCAGTGCTCTTAAAGACTGGGCCATTGGGCTGTTCTTCCAGAGGACCTGAGTTCAATTCCCAGCACCCACATAGTGGTTCACAACCACCTTGAGTGAGTCTGGTACCCACTGCTGGCACCTTCTGTCTGCATGTGCAGACTTGTATACATAATAAATAAAACTTTTTCTCCATTTTTTAATTTAAATTAGAAATAAGATTGTTTTACATGTCAACCCAGTTCCCTCCCCCTCCGCTCCTCCCCTGCCCCTCACTAACACCATACCTATCCCATACTCCTTCTGCTCCCCAGGGAAGGTGAGGCCTTCCATAGGGGGTCTTCATATCCTTTGGGATAGGGCCTAAGCCTCCCCCCCCCCCCCCCCCCCCCCTCCCTGTCCCTCCCCCTAAATAAATAAAATCTTAAAAAAAACTTTTCCTAGTATTCTTACCTCAGACTTCTTTGAAGGCTGTGTTTCCAGGCCCATTCCATCCCAGACAAGAGAGGTGAAGGTCTCAAACAGGCTGATAGTTGAAGGAGACCTCTAAAGATGTTGGGAAGTGGGGTCCGGGAAGGGGTGTCCCTCCTGGACCCAGGATTAGGCACAAACCATTCCCAAACACCTGTTTTCACAGAGAGATCCTTTATTAAGCAGGGGGTAGGGAGGTTGGGAGTGAGGGAAGGGTGAGGGGGTTTAAAATGACTGCTTTCTGACTCAGGCACAAAACAGCAGCAAATGACCTTGCAGGTGTCATTTGTTTTGTTTTGTTTTGTTTTTCCAGATAGGGTTCTATGTAGCCTTGTCCTGGACCTCACTCTGTAGACCAGGATGGCCTCGAACACAGAGATCTGCCTGCCTCTGCCTCCCAAGTGCTGGGATCAAAGGTGTGTGTTGCAGATATATTTTTTTTTTTTCGAGACAGGTTTCTCTGTGTAGATTTGGCGCCTATCCTGGCACTCGCTCTGGAAACCAGGCCAGCCTCGAACTCACAGAGATCTGCCTGCCTCTGCCTCCCGAGTGCTTCGTGCTGGGATTAAAGGCGTGTGCCACCAACGCCCGGCGCAGGTATAATTTTTAAGAGGAGAAAAAGGGGAGGTCTGTGTTAGAATGGACTAGGATGTGGTGGCAAAGGAGACAGAGGATGGGGGCGGGGGAGGGTGTTTGTCCCGGAGGGACAAAGGACTGCCTCTGGATAGAGAGGAGACAGAAGTGGCCCATAGGAAAATGACAGTTTATAAAGGGAAAGGGAAAGCCCCATATTCGGATGAGGTGCTTAATTTTAATTGGGCATGTTAGTTAGGTGAGCCATGGGTGCGGATTGATTGCTGGATTTCAGTGTTTGATAGCCGGGCCTTGGAGTCAGCGACAGGAGGAGGAAGTGGCCAAATAAGGGAACAGACCTTGAGGGTTAGATTCAGGAATGTAAAATAACTTTTTTTTTTCAAGGCAGAGGGAATGGGGAGAAGGGCAAGGCCTGCAGAGCCAGATGCCCCAGTGGGCTGGTGTCCCTTCAATATAGTAGGCGTCCAGTGAACTGCGTTAAAATCGAAGGAAAACATTTGGCGGACGTAAAAAAGGGAGTGAGGTGAAAACAGCCATTCTGGCCAAGCATGTTGGTGTGTGGCTGTAATCCCAACACTAGAGACTGAGGCAGAAGGTTTGAGTTCAAGGCCAACTTGGGTCCCACAGAGGCACCCAGTCTCAAAACAAACAACGAAAATCCCTCCTTTCCTCCTCCTCGGGGTTACTCTCTGGAGTCCTGTGCCGCCGGCAGGGTGAGATGCTCCCACCAGCCACGGCGCCTGTACCCCGGGTGTCACCCCCGTATTCCCGTAAGTGGGGTGGATCTCTCAAGGGCTCTCCACGTCCGGCGCGCGCCGTGGTGCCGCCACCGCTCCAGGGTGGTGTGGCCTGCCAGCGAGCCGGGCGATCGCCGTCCTACAATCCGGGGCTCGCTCCTCCTCCCGTCCCCTGCGCACCCCCGGTCTCGCTCTTGGAGCTCGCAGAGTCTCGCTGGAGCTGCAGCGAGGGAGCTGCGCGCTCACCAGGACCCGGACGGCTGGGGGAGCCCGGGCAGCGCCAGCTTCGGTGACACCATGAATGGCTCGGGCGGCCCCGCGGCCGAGGACACGAGCCGGGAAGGCGGCAGCGGCGGCTGGCAGCCCGAGGCGGTCCTCGTGCCCCTGCTTTTCGCGCTCATCTTCCTCGTGGGCACCGTGGGCAACGCGCTGGTGCTGGCCGTGCTGCTGCGTGGCGGCCAGGCGGTCAGCACCACCAACCTCTTCATCCTCAACCTGGGCGTGGCCGACCTATGCTTCATCCTGTGCTGTGTGCCTTTCCAGGCCACCATCTACACCCTGGACGGCTGGGTGTTCGGCTCGCTGCTCTGCAAGGCCGTTCATTTCCTCATCTTCCTCACCATGCATGCCAGCAGCTTCACGCTGGCCGCCGTCTCCCTGGACAGGTGAGCGAGCATTCTGCCGGTACCCGGGTAGCGGCCCGGGAGGGCGGGGGCCGCAACGCAGGGATCCAGGAGGGATGCGCAGAGTGGCCCGAGGCAGAGAAATGCAAACCCGAGCGGAGGAGAAAAGGCGACGAGAGTCGGTGTCTAAGAGACTCCCTCTGTTAAGTAGGGCCTCAGACCTCGGAGGCTGGAGACACCAGCGTTATTGCTTGAGCTTTATGCCTCTGTGGAACATTACCGTACTCAGTTTACTGACAAGAGCCAGTGTGTAAGTAGCTTGCTCGGGTAGCCAGATGATAATTAAGTTCTGCGGGGAAGCGTCTGTTTCTTGGCGCCAACTCGAGACCTGGACGGTTGTCTGGCACCTTAGGCTTGCGACTGGGCTGTGTTTGGGGAGGACCCGCGCTCAAGTCCAAGAGAGCGCTAGTGAGGGCTCCTAGCTGCTCCAACGCGCGCCCTCCAGGTCAAGCTGCCGGCCAGAGAAGCCAGCAGATTGATGCTCCCCTCTAGCTAAGGGCAGAGAAAGAGAAACTTCCAGAATGCTTTGGAGGGACCTTGGCTGGGAAAGACACCAGGAACAGGTCCTGGGGAAGAAACCCAGGTCCGATTCTGGTTTTTCCCTCCCTCCCTCCCCACGGAAGAGCAGTCAGGAAAGGCCACGATCCCCACTCAACTCCCATTCCCACCGAGCGCAAGGTGTGTGTTCCGAGGCACTAGTGGGACGCACAGAACTTGAGATTCCTTCAGGAATTTCCTGGCTGTTCCTTGACCCAGGCCTTGTCCGGATTGTCTGTCAGAGCCTCCAGCACTAGGGATCCGCCTCCCCCAGGTTGTCACTAGAGTGAAATGATCACCGCCCCCGGAAGTCCAGGCAAATTCTCCAACTTTTCGTCCTCGGTGGTTTCGGGGTGCCCTTCCGAATAGTCCCATCAGGGACAGCCGATGAATGGCCTAGACTCCCGCTATTATTACTACCAGGTCGTGTCCTAATTCTAGGATCAAATAATATCAGAAGCACTGGGCCTGCCCTCCAGTCATTGGCCACATAAGTTTCACTAGCGGCCTTCTTCCAGAGCTAGGGGAGGGTTGGCGGGGCCCCGCGGTGAATCCCGACACCTCCCTGCCCGCCCCGCACTGTCCCACAGGTATCTGGCCATCCGCTACCCGCTGCACTCCCGCGAGCTGCGCACACCTCGAAACGCACTGGCGGCCATCGGGCTCATCTGGGGGCTAGCCCTGCTCTTCTCCGGGCCCTACCTGAGCTACTACAGTCAGTCGCAGCTGGCCAACCTGACCGTGTGCCACCCAGCGTGGAGCGCGCCTCGACGCCGCGCCATGGACCTCTGCACCTTCGTCTTCAGCTACCTGCTGCCGGTGCTGGTTCTCAGCCTGACCTACGCGCGCACCCTGCGCTATCTCTGGCGCACAGTTGACCCAGTGGCTGCAGGCTCGGGGTCCCAGCGCGCCAAGCGCAAGGTGACACGCATGATCGTCATCGTTGCCGTGCTCTTCTGCCTGTGTTGGATGCCCCACCACGCGCTTATCCTCTGCGTGTGGTTTGGCCGCTTCCCGCTCACGCGCGCCACTTACGCGCTGCGTATCCTTTCACACCTAGTTTCTTATGCCAACTCGTGCGTCAACCCCATCGTTTACGCGCTGGTCTCTAAGCATTTCCGCAAGGGTTTCCGCAAAATCTGCGCAGGCCTGCTGTGCCGCGCCCCGAGGAGGAGAGCCTCGGGCCGAGTGTGCGTCGTGGCGCCTGGCAACCATAGTGGCAGTGTGCTGGAACGCGAGTCCACAGACCTGACGCACGTGAGTGAGGCAGCGGGTCCCCTTGTCCCAGCACCCGCACTTCCCAACTGCATAGCCTCGAGCAGAGCTCTCAACCCAGTCTGTTAAAGGATCAAAGGGCATCTAACGACATCTGCACAGTGTGACATCTGGGGTTACGCTTGGATGTTCGTGGTTTGCAGCCAAAGACTGAGAACTGTAGGGGATGATCTGTTATTAAACCGCACAACTTGCTAGAGTCATGTGACATAAGCCTGCAATCTGAGCACTTAGACGTAGGAGGAGGAGGAGCAGGAGCAGAGTCAGCCATGGAATTTGAGCCCCCCCCCCCCCCGAACTACAGGAGATACAGTCTGAAGAACAATAAAATGAAAGGTTCAAACCATTCCATTCGCTGTGATGCATGTGGGATCTGTCACGAAGCCCCAAGCCTGGGGGGAAAGTCTCTGGGAGGCTTCTCAGCGGGGTGCAGGGTGGTTAGCTTAGCTACTAGAAAATTAAAGTCCCTAACTGAAGCTGGGGATCCCACGAAGCCTAACACATGCTCCCCCCAGGTGCTAGTTGTACATCAGCCAACACCCGACCAGGACAAGCAACACAAAATTGAGTAAGTTGAAGCTGATGGGCGACAAGTATCGCTTGTGTTTGCGTTTTCAGTTTGTCTATGCACAGTCCCATGAAGGGCTCCGTGGGGCCTCTAGTCCAGGCATCCTGACCAGTGCTTCACTCGGGCCTTGCATTTGCTCCCCTGCCTACAACTGGGCAGGATCAAGTACCCAGCATTTTAATTTTAGCTTAGGGGTTAACAGGACACCTTGCAACAGGCTCCACTTCACATACACTGGCTACAGCCATCATGGATTCTAAGTACTTTGGGTTGGGGCAAACTAATTCGGCAGAAGAGGGATGCCCAGGTTTCAGTCACTGGTCTCTATAGTCCCCCAGTTCTTAAGCCAAGGCACTTTACATAAAATAAGTTTAAGGAGCAGCAAGGACAAAGTTGTCTCCCTCGCATAGCATGGAGTGGGCTGACTTTGGCCAGAGGCACCACTGAAAACACACAGCCTGACTTTGTCCGTCAGCCTGGCCATTCTTCAACGTCAGCTCACCCCTGGTATTTCCGGAGGCCATCATGATTCTGAAAAACAGGTGCACCACTGCTAATAAGCATGGGGGTGACCGGGCAGTGGTGGCACATGCCTTTAGTCCCAGCACCTGGGAGGCAGAGGCAGGAGGATCTCTGTGAGTTTGAGGCCAGCCTAGTCTACAGAGTGAGTTCCAGGACAACCTCCAAAGCAAAACAGAGAAACCCTGTCTCTAGAGAAAAAACAAAACAAAAAACAAAAACAAAAAAAGCATATGGGTGTTTGTGTCCAGTGTGTTCAATGCGGTGAGTGCCCTGATGATGCCTAGCGCCCAGTGCCAACTGGGGAGGGGGAAGAACTCAGTCTTGACTAGTGACCAACCCAATAGGATGCTCCCTCCCAGCAAGTCCTGTAGCCTGGTGTCCTCTGTGCTGATGCTAAGGCTGGTGAGCTCCTACCTGGGGAGGGCAGAGATGGGAACACACTCCAAACATTAGCTCTCACCAACATACTGAGTTTAAGGACACATATGCGGAGAACGAGGCTTCACTGGATTCCTTTGTCCCTAGTCCTAGCCGGGTGCTTGTCTAATCTGGAATGTTAGTGTACATCCCCAGCATGCAGTCACGCTGCCCTGGTATTTGCTCTGGACACCCAGACTCACCATGCAGGAGGTGTGGGGTGTGAGTTTCAGGTGTGCATCACACAAATCCCTCCCCTTCCCTAGGTGCCTCTTAGGGAATATTTCCCTGCTGGTGGCTACCACAGTAGCATGAGTAGGAATCTCTCTAGAAACCTGGTGGGGCTGGCAAAACTAAGGGAGAGGTCTCCCCTGTCCCAGCACAGGAATGGGCTGGGTTCTGGCCATGGCGCTTCTCCCTGTGGGCTATGGATGGACTGGAAGGTCCAGGACCCACAGGCTTGGGTGCACCAGGATGTGACTTTGAGCTCCTCTGTTTCTAAGGGACCACAGCGACTGCAGCCTGTTTCCACCCTTTCAACAACACTAGTGGTGTAAGACTGGAGAAGCTGGTCTCCTGACCAGCCTGGCACAGGGCTCTGTGGCCTAGTAGACCGGTATGTCCCCCCACCCCTTAGGGCAGCTGACTGGAGCACAGAGCAGCAGAGTCCACACCTCCACCGACTCAGTCCATCTCCAGTTCCTGGAGGTGCTTCACAATCCTCCTCCAGTGTCACGGCCTCAGTTATCAGAGCCGCTCCACAATAGCTTGTTCCTGTCACTTCATGCTTTTCTCCCCAGAACAACTGCTCTCTGTAGCCAAGGCCAGGCTACTGTGTCTGTGCCAGGTGTGCCAGACTTAGAAACTCATTCCCAAAGGCAACTGAAGGGGCAGCTACCCAAAATGTATGCATGCACCCACAAGATGTCAAACTGGCAAAGTGCTCCAAGGAAAGCCCACCCACCGCTTCCCCCACCATCGCTGCCCCCAGGCCCTAATGTTTCTGGCGCGAGAGGGAGGACAGAGAGGAATCTGCAATCACGTCCCTGCCTCGAGGTGCTGCCAAGTGCATTTATTTCCACAAGGAAAACTCATCTCTGAACCTAAGGCTCTTCTCCAACTGGAGGCTATCTGATGTGCTTCCAAAGGCCAGGGGACTCTCGTGAATTAGCTCCCTCTCCCACCCACCCTGAGAGGCTGGCAGAAGCCTGTGACTTCTGTGGGCTCCTGTCTCTCTCCCTAGCTCACAGTTTGCATCCCACCCCTTCAGGGATAGAGCTGGAGTTCCAGGCCCATGTGGTGGACAGGACTGTGTCAGAAAGAACAGGCAGTTCATGACTTGAAAGCTCAGGTCCTACTCCAGCACAAGCCCTGCTTCCAGGTGCACTGAGTCCACCTGGGAAGAGGTTCCTTCCACATCCCAGGAAATGCCTCTTTTTCCTTCCAAGCTGACCCCGAAGAACACAGAGCTCAAGCCCATACTGGCGGGGTGGCCCCCAGGGAGACACTGTTGTTAGCTGATGTGTGTGAGGGTCTGTTGTCCTCAAACCAGAGTGCATTGCCTATAAAGTGACACTGCTTATGAGCTACCTTGTCTTCCACTCTTCCCCAGTGCAGGCTCCACCCAGTTCTCCTTCCTGCAAGCCACTGCTCAGTGAGACCTGCTCCTCGTAGCCACCTAGTCACCAAGACTAGCTGGGTTCAGCCTCTGGCCGCCATTGGCAGTTTACTTCTTCACCTGCTGCTACTCCTCCTCAGCACCAAGGCTGTGGTCTAGATTCAGCCTTGGAGATGAGCAGTCCCAACCCCATGCCCAGAGGGGAACTGAGTGACAAGAAGAACCCAGTACCTAGTGTGGAAGGCAGGCAAGGGCTAAGGCCCATTCTGGGAGTGTGGGGTCACGAGGAATGAGGAGCTGGAGTGATTAAACAGAGCAGAGTGATAAGTTGCACACCCGCAGCTGATTCAGACTCAGTGGCCGGGTGTGCTGTGGGCTCTTGGCGTCTGCCTGCTGGAGCCTGGCTCTGGGCATCCCTTTATCCTCCGCAGGTAGAAGCAGGTTTAAAGTAGGGCAGATTCATCCTCCTACAGGCCCAGGTGGCCCCTGACAGAAGTTTATGCCTGGAAAATTTCTCTAAAAGGTGTTTCTTCTACCGGAGGGAGCTTAAGAAGGGCCAGACCCAAACTTTAATTAGTTGAGGACCTAAAGAAGGGACACTCTGGACTAAGAACCACTGTCTTTCACCCTTCTGCTCTGGAAGAATGTTTTGGAGCAACAAAAAACAGTTCCTTTCCCTGCCAGCAGCTACTAGAGGAGGAAAGAGTTCAAGGAAGGGTGGGCCACAGCTGTTGAGCACACTTTCTTCCTCATGGATGTGGCCAGTGTGCTGTGTGGTGAGCTGTGGATATGGCCAGTGTGCTGTGTAGTCAGCTCGTGGATGTGGCCACTCTCGAGGTGAGACAGGCTCAAGACTAACGCAGGCCCTGGCAAGGACGTCTCATGGTGGATGGCCCAGTCTGTGACAGGGTGGGGCTTAGGGATACAGATTTAAGGGTACAGCACAGTTCCTACAGCTAGGTGAAGAGTTGGGACAGTGTCCCTAGAGAGAGGTCAGCTCCATTCTCTAGCCAGAGGCTCATGCATCCTGAGTTCCCCCTCTGAGTACAAAAGCAAAGCAAACCATCACCCAAATGCACAGCAAGGGCCTGCCCTGGACACAGTTGTTCACTGGCATCCTAAGCACAGCCTAAATTTACCCTCATGGCCTCCCATTTTGCTCCTGAGTTGCTTTCCTTCAGCCACTAGTTGCCTGTCTCTCATGCATTCAGCCTAAAGCCCCTGCAACCATTACTGCGTGGCCTGGGCCGGGAGCATGGAAGCTGGGAACCAGGGACAGATGCCTGAGTGGTTGGCCCCACAGGGCAGTTCAGAGCTCTTCCAAACACTTCTTGTGGTGTATTAGATCCAAAGCCAGAGACAGAGCCCTCCTGCCTCTTGTCACCAGGTGCCTCCCAGGTGGCAGGAAATCCTGGGGCAGCACTGTGGACAGTGAGTCCAAGCAGTAGGTTATCTGCCACAGCCTTTCCTCCAAGTCTGACAGCTGCCACATGGCCTGTTCTCTGAGCCCGTTCACATCTGTGGGCTGAAGAGGATGGAGGGGGCCGGGGTGGAATCGACCACCCCATCCTTGGTATCCACATGGCCACTGGGGGCACCAGCCTTTGTCTTCCTCTGAAGCCATCTTGTGGCCCCTGCTGGATGCGTCCATCATGAAACCCAAGGTAAGGAGGGCCCCACATTCAGGGTGAGTGCTGGTTTAACAGGAGACGTGGGCCAGCAGGGAGATGCAAACACCAGGGACAGGGCTCTTGGGTGGGGCACAAAGGTCTCTGTTGCAAAGGACTTCGAACCCACCTGGCCCAGAGGTATGCTAACACTGGTTTATCAGTCCGGTGGCACGTGAGTCTGGTGGGACCAGGCAGCACACTGGCAGGGTCAGGCAGAGGTGTCGAAAAGCCGGTCAATCATGTCGCCCACCTGCTCCACACGGTACTTGATGTACTTCTCAGGGTTCTTGGTGAAGGGCACATTGCCATACCTGATCAGGCACCATGGTAAGAGGTCAAGGGGGAGGGCACCTCTACCCTCAGCCTAAGTGTTAGCACCATTAACACCCTGACGCATGCTAAGATGGCAGGGGTGCCCTTGGATGAAATTCCAAAGCCCAGAGCACGAATGTGCTCTTCATAGGTCACCTGGAAAGTGGGCAGCAGAGGCCTAGGAGCGGGGATGGGCTCACCTGTGCAGAAATGCCCCATAGGACTCCTTGACCATGGTTTTCTGAGCTTGTCGAATCTTGTCCCTCTGCTCTGTGTCCGGAATGGCCCAGGCCTTCTGAATCTTGCACAGTTCTTCAAGGCCATCATTGAATCCCTGACCACCAAAGAGGTAAGAAGGAGGGACCAAGAGACAAAAGCTTTGTGTCTATGTTGCCATAGTGGCAACAGCCATCAGTGAAGGAAGGGGGGACCTCGACTCACCTTGAATCTCTCCTTAATCACCTGCCGCTCCTTGTCCCGGAGCTGGGGGGGTCCAGAGAACGGAGGGAGGCGGTGGAGAAAGCTATGCTCAGAGCAGAGCCACGCCACCCCCTCCTGCTGCCCCAGCCCTCTCCCGTTGCCCTCGTGGCCTCTGCCCAGAGAGATGCTTGTCTGTTTTTCCTAGGATACAAGTATCACACCAGCTCGACACCCATTTGTTCCTGGCACAGGTCTCGAGCTTACCTTGACGCCAGGCTGGAACACAGGTAGACTCTTCTCTGAGATGTAATCGGTCACCTTTAGCCAGCTGCCAGACAGCAGGGTGAGAAGACAGGGAGAGGCAGCTTCAGATAGCTGCTTCTTCCCTAAAGTCAGCTGACTTTGCTTCGCAAATGTCTCAATCTACTGAAGGTGGGGGCAGGAGGAATTATCTGGGTCAGGAGTAAACAAAACAACAGAGATGCTCTCCTTGGGAACAGAAAATGTTTAAGCTGCTTGCTTTGATAATTAGGAACAGGAAGCAGAAGGCGCTCAATAAACTGAACAAATGCTGCCGACCACAGTTCACATCAATATTGTGGCAAATTAAGATAGAGAAACAGATGGGAAGAGAGGGAGAAGAGGACAGATAAACAGGAAGGAAGTGGGAGACACTCGGAAAGAAACAGGCCAAGGAAGCCGGGGGACTGGAGAAGCACCCAGAACCTTTTCAAGTTGAAGGGCTCTCACACCCCACTGTTCTCTAGGGCCAGACATTGCTCTCATCTCTGACAGCTCACTTTTCAACTATTCTTAGCCATGACACTTGGCAGACCACTCACTCGGCAGAGGCTATGTGGTCCCTGGGGAACAGCTGGCAAGGGGAGGGAGCTTCTCCCTCCCCTCGAGAGTTAGATTGAAAAAACAAGAAGAGAAAAAAAGTGCTGGGGGCTTAGCTTAGTGACAGACCCTAAATTCAGCCAGTACAAGACCCTGGCTCTGAGCCCTAGCACTAAAAACAAACCCCAAGAAGGAAACAGACGGTGGGTGGGTTGCCTGCGATGTCGTCAGTAGCTGCTGGCCTTGCTCTGAGGGGCTAAGAAGGAGTGTGGTGGATTCGGGTAGGGACAGCAGGAAGGCTGGTGTCTGCTTACCTGCGCTGGTAGATCTGGATCTGCTGCTCGATGTGCTCCCGGTAGGAGCGCTCAGCAGTCTTCTGGGTGACAGCCACCAGCTGGATCAGCTCAGACCTGGGTGAAGGTGGAAGACAGACAGAAAAAGAAAGAGAAAAGCAACTCCTGGGATCCAGAAGCCGCTGGCCCTGGCAGCAACAGTGGAAGGAGGCTCCCCATTGTGAACCTTCCTGAGCTCTAGGGTAGAAGCGCCCTTGGGTGCTGACCAAAGAGACGCAAGCGCACAGGACAGGAGGTGGTGGGCAGTGCACCTGGCCTGGAGGGCAGAAGCTGCCATGGCTGCCACTCACTTCTCCAGGGACTTGAGGATGTAGTTGTAGTTATTGTGCAGGAAGACGGCACTCAGGGCTGGGTCCTCATACACCTTAGACTTGCTCAGCAAGTTCAGCTGCAGGTTGCCCAAGACTTTGCCTATACAGAAAGATGGGGCCACTTATACCAAAGGTGTCTGATCCAAATGACAAGACCACTAGGGCCTGCTAACCAGTTCCTGACAACTGCTCCTTGTTCTTCTGACCCCCAGGTCTCTGAAGATCGTCTCAACCCCTGGAACCCGAACTAGACTGTAGGTTACTCTCCCAAGGCTAGCACAGGGACCCAGGAATAGATGGACAGCACTGAGGCAAGGGAGTGGGGAGATGGAGTAGGTTCTGCCAGGGAGACAGACTCACAGATATAGGTGCTCAGCAGGCGTTTGCTGAACTCAGAGCTGTAGCTGGTGGCCGAAGAGCTGGTTTCTGAGAGGAGATATGCTGTTACTATGGTGGCAATGGCCAAGACCCTTGATGGCCCTTCCCATATCCCAGGGACAGAGGAGGAAGTGTTGGGACAGGCCCTGGGCTTGGTGGGGCAGGCAGGACTGAAGCAAGAGCTCAAGCAAAGACGGGCACCTGCTGAGCTACTGGAAGCACTGTGGACTCTTTCTGGATCCCGGGGCTGTCTTCTATAGTAATGGGTTAAGGAGCCAGCCCTTAACAGCAGGCAGGCAGGAAGGAGAGGTGTGGGCTACCGATGCCTTCCCAACCTTCCCAGCCTGGTCCCTACTGTAAGATGGGTGGTATCTATTAGATCCCTTTTACTTATTTGTCAACAGCAAGGATTTCTAGATAGGGTCACCTAGTCTTCCCAGTTTCTCCTCACAACTCTGAACCCCCCACCCCCAGCAGAGAGCTCTGATATAGAACAGAAGGCCAAAGGGAGGGGGTTAGGCTAGCCAGGGGGTGTTCTTGGGTTCTGGTTAGGTGGTGCCTGGATAGGCTTAGAGACAGAAGGGAGCTGAAGGGAATGGGGGGGGGGCGATGAGGGCCCCTTAAAAAACTCATACCCTGCCCCCAGTGGGTCCTGAGAACTAGTACCCTGGGAACCTCAACCACAGGGCTTTGGAGGGGAGGATGGGGCTGGGGGACCACACTGCTTACCTCGGGGGTCTAAAGGAATATTGTATGTGTCCCCGAGAACTACGGAGTGACAGGCAGTGCACACAGAGGGGGAGGAGGGAAACAGAGGAGGAAGAAAGATGCAAAGTGCAAAAAACAGGTTAGAAATGGCTGTGTCACCCCAAGCCAAGCAGACCTTTCCCCCATGGCAGCCAGACACAGACAGCAGCACACACCAAACCAAACTAACTCAAGACCAGAAACACACTGGAAAGTGCAGCCCAAGAGAACTGGGAGCTCCTTGGCTTCTTGCCCACCAAATAAAAACAAATGGAGGGCCCCAGGACCTCAGTTCTTGGAATGACCCAAGCTCTCTTTACATGCCAGCATCCCAGCTCCAGTCCCACCAGGGGGCAGCGAGGAGGTGGAGCAACAGAATAGGCAGACAACAGGAGGGAGTGGAGAAGAGTGGCAGTGTGGAGGGACAGGATGAGACCTGAGCCCTGCAGTGCCCACCCCAGAGCACTGACAGCCAAAGGAGCAAGCAACGGGTGGGGTTCCTAAGAATGCCAACAAACCCACAACTCCTTATGCTGATTCTCCAGAAATCCATGGGCTTAGACTTCCCCACAGGCCATGTCTTAGTCCTATTCCATGGGCTTGGGGAAACCCCTCATCACACCCTGCCCGCACCTACAGCAAGTAAGTGCCTACTAGGGGCCTAACTCTATACCCCCAAAGCAGCCCCCAGCACAGGGGTCATGTACCTTGGGAGGCCAGCATGGCACCCGCTGTCTCCTGGAAGTCCAGAAGCTGCTGTAGGAAAAGGATGGCCTGGGAGAGAGAACACATCCAAGAGGGTTGGGGGTCGCCCAAGGAAATGGCTTCCCACACAGAGCCTTTCCAACCAGCAGGGCAAGTCTGCGGCAGCGGTCTTTATAGCGACAAGAGCAACTGGAGATTTCAGGTGTTACCTTGGGCTCTGGCTGCCTGCACTACTGAAACTAACCCTTTACCACAAATGAAGCCCAGGAGCTCTGGGCAGGCTGGGTTCCCACTAGTGGTGTTGCCCCCAGGGCCTGAGCTGGGTGCTCTCTGTCCCACCTCTGCAGTGTTTGGGCGGCACCTACGTTGCTTGTGAGCTCGTGAACTGTGCCGTCCTTAGGCATGTTGTACTCTTTGTCTGGGTCATTCTGTGGGAAGAAAAAGAACAGCCGCTGGTTCCTGGATAGGGAGTTCCCCCAGCCTGAGTCCAAGTTAGCCTGCCTATGGCGCCACCTCCTGGTCATGGGTGTTAGGCTGTCCCTCAGTCTCAGGGCTTGGGGCCCACAAAAGAAACAGAGGTGCCCAGAGGGTCTCCCCTGCCCACCAGCAGTGGGGGGTGGGGGTGGGGGG